TTTTTGGCATATTGAGGTAGGTGATTTGAGTTGAGTGGATCACTGTGTGTGTGTGTGTTTGTGCGTGCGCGAGGGGGGATGCGTAGTTTCAATTGTTTTTTTACTTGTTTGTTTCGTTGATGTTCCGGTTCCTGTAAAGCAACCGTGCCAATTGATGATCGGTTTCGGTTTGTCGCTAGGAACGACATTGATAGCGCAAGCGGACGTGTTGCTGGGTGATATCACATCCGATTTGATGTGGTTTCAATAGCACACACGATACTGGTCATTGTGGTTGATCATTTGTGCCCGTTCTTTCCCACGGGTTTTGTAGTTTTGTAGTGTTCTGGTTGTTATTTTCGTGCTGTACAAATATAGGTAGTGCACGGTTTCACGTATCTGAGCGATCTGTTTCTATATTTTTTGTTTTCCTATATATTCCCTTGTTTGTCGTTCGTGCTGCTGGACGAGTGAATTTGAATAGTTCGGTGATTTATTTGCTTCCTGACTGTCAGTGAGACAGAAGCCGCTTTGATGTGTTGGCCTGTCGTGTGTTGCGTTGCGTACAGTGCGAGATGAGAGGGGGCCGATTACTGCACCGATTTGTGACTGTGTGCTAGATGCTAGAGCTCATTAATGGGCTGATTGCATCCGCTTACTTTACCTCTCGGTCCCAGTGGTCCTTGCGGGTTATACGCAGCGGTAAAATCGAGTGGACCGTTTGTTCACACCCGATCATGTGGGTTTCGGTCAGACATGCGTGTATTGCTCGTCTTTTCTGGTGTAACGGTCGTCTGAATGTTGGCGAGGAGAATGTGCCGGTGCTGATGAGAACTGACTGACGCATGTTTGTGTGGCATAGTTATGCTTGACGGTTCATAGCTATGACTATATAAGGCATATATGTTTTCACTGAAATACCAGTCTGAGTTTGTGTACGGATTTGGGTATTGTGTATTGTGTTTGATTTTTGCTATTGGTTTGTTACATACAATCAATGCAATGCGATTTATGCTGGTCTTATGAATCGGTCAATGCTTTTTTCATGATGACCCTGTTCAATTATAGCGGTTTGAGGAGGAAAAGTAGTGATGGAAGTAGTAGTGAATTATGACCTTGTCGTGCTTTGTGTGCTGAATGAGTTTTCCATCCTGATATTTGGTTGATTTTCACTGTGCCGTAACCTGGTGATCGAGGTGCATTTTTGGTTGTGTTTGTGTGTTATTTTGCTTTGTACTGGTGGTTGTGTTGACGAATGTGATTGTTTTCCCCTGGCTATTTTTAGCGAATGTGGTTGTAATTTTCCACTCGCACATCTTGACCATGTCGTTGCTCAGCGACCTTGTTGATGATAGTGATATGGACAGACAGGTTGTTGCGTTATTCGCAATCCGTTCCGAAGGAGGTATTGTTTGTTGCTGTCGCTTACTTACTTCCGTGCATCGAATTGGTTCGATTGGTTTGGTTTGTCGTTGAGATTGATTTGTGTGGCGTTTGGCGCTGATGATTGATGATGAGTGTGAAATGATTTTTTTCTCCCACGGTTTTGTGTGTTCCATGTTGCTTGATTGATGCACATTGTTTTTGGATATAGTTGGTTGAACTTCGGTTGAATGTATTTTGCTTTCTTTTTCTTGGATGAGTCCACTGGTTTGTTTGTGATGCGCGTGTGTTGTATGGTGGTGCATGTTTCGTGTGTTCTTCTGAGTGCGGTGTTTGTTTGTTTTTTAAATTTTATTCTTTTGTATTGAACTTTCTGATTTGTGCTATGTGTACTTGTAGTTGAGGACCTGGTGCCCAAAAGACCATGTATCTGATCTATTGAATACGTGGGGGACGTGGTACCGAAATGGAGCGGTATTGTGCCGATCTCTATATGTGTTGGCGAGCCGTACATCGGATGTTGTTTCCTGTCAGCTTCTCTTTTTTGGACTGTGGCACATGTGTATTGTTTGCCTTTCTGCTTTTCGATTTGTTTAAGTATGGGTTTTTCGTTGTTGCTTTATTGTTTAGTGCATATAAGAACAATAATAGTAATTATTATTGCCGTTTGTGCTGTGATTGTGTTTTGTGATGGGACAGTCTAGTTACGTGTGTAATTAGAGATGCGAGTGATGAGTGTTGTTGTTTGATCAGTTGTGAGATGTGTTTGATCGCCTTGGTTTTGCGCCTCGCGTTCGCTCGTTTGCTCGCTCTGTTGCGTGCTCGTG